GTTTCCGCTGATGCCTCCGTTGTGAGAGGTTTGGGAGTTTGCTTAGTGCTTGCAGCATCTTCTCAAGGCCTACTCCAAGCCCACCTCTTCAGGCCAGCGATAGTATCACCGGCCATTCGAGGTTTCCCTGGCCCCGGAGGGGCTGTTAAGAATGGAACCTTCGGCGACCTTCTTCCGAGTTTCAACGCTGCGGAAACGAGTCAAGACGAGTCCGGGACCGTCGCCCGCTTGTCGGGGCCTGCGCGAAACGAGTCCCGACGAGTCCGGGACCGTCGCCTGCGTGACGGGGCCTGCGGCAACAAGTCTCAACGCGCCCGTGACGTTAGCGGGACGTGTGTGTGTGCGTGGTGGTTGGTGCGCTCGGGAAAGGGAGAGAGGCATGGCCTAACTGCGGAGAACTTTGGCTACGTCGCACTGGACGGCGGACTTTGCTGCATCGCACTTGACGGCGGGTTGCTGCATCGCACTGGCTGCCCTGGCGGGGAGTGAGGGAGAAACGGACCCTATATAAGGCGGAGCGCGAGGCTGCTCCGTTGTTCTCTCGGATTTGACGACTGTATCGCAACCATGTAATTAAACCGTTCGTTACGTTACCAAGTCTCCCACCTCCACTGAACCCCTGGGTTCTTCACTTCGGGGAATGGACGTCGTCACGAGACAGGAAGCCTCCGGACGTACGGCCTAAACCTCGCCTCGAACAGGGTGACCACAACAGCTTGGGGGCCTGTCCCTCCACACTTCTGACTTCTCCTCTCGTGGCGTCTGCCGCCTCCCGAAGCTTCCTAGTTCTATGCTCCAAAGCGTTATTTTATAGACTACTGTCCATGTATCTTTTGGGTTTTATTGTGACTATTCGTTTGGCTCGCCGAATAATTGCCGAAGTGCCATACTTGGGCCAAAAAATCCAGGTATGAATTGACCAGCCAGCACTGAAGCCTGATTCTGGCATTTGGTTAGCAATTTGGGCTAAAGATATCAAGCTAGCAACAGCGAAGCTTATTTGGGCCATTGCTTGAAAAATTGGAGACGAAATATCTAGGTTCGGGGCAAAGAAGGTCAAGTTTGACTCTACCTTGGATTCTTCGGAAATTTAAGGCTCCAAATTCTGAATCAAAAAGTAGATATAGGCCCCAAACATTCTGTGCTACGTGGAAATAGTGATGATAAATAAAGAAATAACATAACTCGCTCGGTCGATGCCTTGGTGCAGACTCGACATTTTCCAAGCTCCAGAATCTAGGAGCAGAGTATGAGGTGTACAATAACAACATTTTCGCCAGTTAGTCATTTTCGAAAATTAAGCTGTTCATCATCGTCCTCATAAACCCACGGAAGACAAAATACGTCGTGCGTGCATTATGCCTGAGTTTTAATTTGCTATTCTAGGTCAGAGGAAGGTTTGGTATGTTTTAGATGCGCTGAACAGACAGCACTCTTGTGTTCTCCATGTATATCAAAATAATCGAGACCACATTAAATGTATGCAGGAGTGAGGTGTGCCGCGAGAATGCTTGAACAAGAAGTGTTTGATCTGTCCTCCTTCTTCTGTGAGGAGTGTAGGGCCTTATTCTTAGTGTTCTTGAATTGCGAGGAATTCTTTCGGAGGTTTATCACGACCATTACTTTATCTCTTGACTGTCGGCCGAAGTTGCCATGTGATACGCCCTCTGTGCTATCCATAAGTACGTTACGATCTACCCTGTCATGTCGTGAGGCAACCTTGGGAGCTGCACATCATTCGAGAGCCATCTTTGCGCGCCGAATGTCGCCAGCGAACTAAGTATGCTGAACTAAGTATGACTCTCCGCTCACGGTCGTCTGCGGACTTTTAACACTAGACTAAGTATAAGTCATCACGTATGGTCGCCTGCGGACTACGTTAGGTGGATTAGATATGATTCGCTGCCGACACGCGCCTGTGGAATAATTAGGCTTGGCAAAGTATTATCCATTGCCAACGTTCGCCTGCTGAAGAGGTTTGCTGTATAAAGTGTAATTTGCCTCCGATGGTCGCCTGCGTACCAAGTGTTCTGGACTGAGCATCACTCGCTGCGAACAGTCGCGTGCTATCGCAGGCCCGTCGATGTAGGAAGCTTGTGGAGGCGACCTGACGCGGGGAGACTTCCGGTGTGCAGGGACACCCATAACGATGACCAACAGCGAACAACACCAAAAGACGCTATTGGACGGAAAGGACACCCTTGGACACCTTTGGAGGCGTTCCCACAAACCGCGACCTCTACCTCGGGCTTCACTTGGGATTTTCTCGTTTGGCTGGCTTGAGCCAGTATGTCGCCTCCTCTTCTTTATACCTACATGCGTAAAATCCCCACCCCTTTCAACTCCTTGTGGCGCCGTGAAAGGACGTCGGACTGGAGATCGCAAGGTCAGGGGATCAATCCCGGCTGAGCCCCTTGCTTATGGTAATCTAAAAATTATGAAGACTAAGTACGAGTTTCATGTGCTTTGGATACTTCTGCCTGCCTGCTATAGACTATGCATTCTTTATTTTCGTCATACTCAAACGCAATACTTATCGCCAAAAATCCAGCCCACAAACATAGTCTTTGCTAAAACTAAGCTCAAGCGTGACAAAATGATGACGAAAGTAATTTTATTTGTAAATAAGATCCTATTATTATCTAGCCTAGAGGGTGACTAATACCCCTGTCAGACTGCGTTCTTAAGCTCCTTTTCATTAAGTTCCGTAATAAAAACGGCCAGTCAGCTCGCGATGTTGAGTGCGCACGTGCCTTACGGCGAGCGCTGGTCGACGATTTTATAAAGGAGCTTGTTCTAAAGGCCTCTAAAATGCCCTTCTGACAGGCGTATTAGTTAAAATTACATATAGGATTATTCGAAAGAATTAGGTTTAAACACGTCAGAGCTTACATAAATTACATTTATTTATTTATTTATTTTAGTACATACTGCGTACCTCAAGGTGCAAGCAGGATGGGCGGAAGAACAGATCACGCTACACAAACAATAATTAAATTTAAGATAAAAGTAGAAGAAATAAAGAAAACTGCGGCATAGAATCACACACATCCAAATTATACATATATCAATACTCACTATATCACATCCCGATCACATAGCATAACAATAACACATGTTCTTTTTTTTTTTTTTGCGAATATGGAAGCTATACATATAAGAGAGCTATACTAAACTGCATACCTACGAGGCTCACTCGGAAAGGAACGATTCTAAGGATGAAGCCAAATCAGGGGAAAAAGACTCAAAAGGAAAATGATTTGCAGTCGTTTTTTTCTGTTTAAAGTATGAAGACTTAAATATATCAGTATGCGCGAAATAGGATGTTAAAGGGATACTGCAACAAAAATCTCTAGTTTATTTTTTGGTCTATGCATGTTCATACGTGCAGTATCACATCGAACACACCAATATCTCGCTAAACAGTACAAAAACAAAATTAGAAGAAATAAACTATTTCCAAAGAACACCTGGTGCATGTCGCTAGAGCCTTGTTTGTAATAACAGTCTAGGAAACCTTAACTGGTGGTGAGGATAACTTTTCCACCTAGACCTTTACATGCTTTGAACCTGATGTCATCCAAACAGCTGTACGGCGAGCACAAGAGAAGAGGGGGATAGAGGAAACTCAATTTTGTGTCACTCAGGCGTCGCTATTCTCTCTCTAGAAGATTATAGAAGATTAACTGGTCACTGTAAATTCACAAAAACGCAGCTTTGTGGTGAGTTGCGGAGGCCCGATCGCTGGCTTGCTTGGACCGCTTCGGTGGCTGGAACGGCCAGGGCATCCAGATGATGTCAGCCTCGCTGTAGCTTTGCTCCGTCCCAGACAGACTACGGCACGATTGCGCCGTATCTGACGTGCTCTCCGCTGGCTTCTTCCGAACGCATGCCAGAGTGGGCCGTTTCTAACGAAAAATACAACCATGAGGCTCAAAATACAAAGGTGCGATTGTCATTTATAGATCTTGTGGATCATATTCAGGCTATTTCTAAACACGACATGTATATTTCAAATTCTTGAAGTATACCTTTAAGGAGTCGCGGTGGTTGTTTCTTGCCGATTTGGGTGAAAGCTGACTAACGTATAAACAAGGATAAGGGAAACCTTACAACTGACTAGCTGATGAAGAAAATCTAAGCGAACAATTTTACGCCGGGGCTGGTGGGTCGGTATTTTATTTGTCTGCATTAGCAGTGATGGGGAATCTGTGCGTATGAATTTTTCTAGGATATATGAATCTTTTCTTGTAAATAGGTCCCAGACTACGGAACAATATTAGAGCTTGGGCCGAATGAGGGAAGTGTAGGCCAACAATTTAACGCTGAGAAGGGGGGGGGGGGGGAGGGGTTCCCAAGTTTATGCCGTACAAGACAGCTTTGACAAGGCTCCTGAGGAAATGTTATTCACATCGTCAGACCAACTCAAATTTACATGTTCCTATATCATCTTGCTTGTTCTCATATGTTAATTGAACACAATACAGTATTAAATGGGGGGGGGGGGGGGCGAGTGCTCAGAAATGGAATGGGACTAAAGAAATTGATTTTCCGAAGGTGAACTAACACGCCGTGTTCTTACGGAAGATGTGCCCCGCGTAATGACCGTACATTTTATCTGGACATCGCATAAATAAACACCGTAAAATATTGTAAAGCGGGGGGGAGGGGGGGGGGGGGGAGAGGGGAGAGGAGAGGAACGAAGACGGGCGAAAATTCACAAAAAATTTAGCTCTCGCTTTATGCAACCCATAACGTCCCACGTCAATTGCTGTCGTAACATTCAGAAGTGTTCTCGCACTTGTTTCAGGAGGAAAAGACAAAAGGAAAGGAGGGCGAGGGTGTGGACGTTTCCGATAATTAAGGATCAAAGTTCCCCTCACTTATCGCCAAGCGAAAGGCGCTGTTGGAGAAATGGTGGCATTGTGAGATCACATATATCCCATGGGGCACCAGATAAAGCACCATGTGTATAGATAGGTAACCGGCGGCTCAGGTGTCGTCAGAGCGATCTTCCGAGCAGACGCTTTCAGTCGCGTCAGGATGCGCACCTTGACAGTGTGCGTGTTCTTAGTGGCTCTGAGCCTTCCGAACTCCACATCATCTAATGAGGAAGGTGAGTCTTCTGGTGTTCAAAAAAATTTGCTTTGCAGACATCAGACATATAGATGCAGGGTGTTTGCTCCTAATTCGAACAAATCTATTAAAATAAGCCTTAAAATGTAAACTAATGTGGTCTGTGCACGTGAATAATAAGGCAAGGGGGATATAATTTAAGGGACTCAGCGTCACAATAAGTTTAAAAAATGAGCTGATATTGTTTACATTAGTTTCTAATTAGTAAAATACTGGCATGTTTCCGTCACATTCCAGATAGTCTTTAACGTTAAAATATCGTTCTTAATGTTGCATTTATAATCATGTGCGTTGCATGGCCTCCTTAACGTTACATATAATTTTAAAATACCTTCACCCCAAATAAACAACACACATTATTCTACGTTAAAACAGAATATGTAAAACAAGAGCCGGCCAACACAAAGAGAGCCAGTCGATGGCTTTGCATGAGCTAATGGTACAGGCGCCTAATATGTGAGATGCCAGTGTGGAACGCCGACCAGAGTGGAGGAACACCTGAATGATGCCCTGAGGGTGACAACAGATTGGGAGCTCGGTTACCATGCCGTTATCAAAACTTCGGATGCCTTTTTTTTTCTCGCCGTTCCAGCATGTTATGCCTGACTCTGCAGCGTGACTGAATGTCTGCGCTTCTCGGAATAGAACAAACATATAAGTGGAATGAATCTTAATTAAAAAAATAAGGTCGGGACGCATAGCATTTGCAGCTGAAGGGTGGGCCTGTATATTTGGTTTCGTAGAATTATCTAATTATCAAAATATATATATATAATTATCTTGGAAGAAAGTCAGCAAAATAAGAGCCATGTGACGTTTTATAATTTTTACTCACATTTCTAACGTTATCACCGCCTCGTGAAAAGAAGCCTCTGTCTCTTGTAATCAAATAATCAAATTTTACATAATAATAGTAATATTTTCTTTAACAAAATATTGTTTATAAAGACAAGTGGAAAAAAGCTTTCTAAAACAACCTGACTGAGCTCCAAGCCATCACTACGCAACAGTTGAGCACGCATCAAGATAGTACCATACATTTCCGTGTAACCAACGTAAAAACGATAAATCTAGGGAATAGTCAAGTGCACACAATACACGCACTTGTCAAAAAGGAAAAAAAATAGATAACTTGTGGCATTACAATCTTGTGTTGAAGCTAGGCGACTGGGCTATATATAATTATAAACGTAAGATGTGTATGGATATAACGCACGTTTCACCATTTGTTGGGGTAAACTAGTTTACGATGGTCGGAGGGATTTAGGTTATTGTACATCGGACTCCATCGAGTTACATTTTATGCGGAAGTATGTACCACATGTCGCACGGCACTGCATTGTGACACCCAAGGGCAGGTATTGGGATTCTCCGCACTCTTGAATCCGGGCTGCAGAATGTTGGAGGGCAGATAATATCTGTGCGGCAAACCCTTCGGAAAAAAGAAGAGAGAAAAGGTCAGTTTGGATTGCCTGGTTCATAAAACGCACCCCCGCGATATTTCTTCGATTTCAATCGTCGTTCCGCTGGGATAGCTCACATGTTCGGCTGCTACAAGCGGTCGGTTTTTCCCCACAGAGAATCACGTGAGCGTCAGTTGTTCATGCCATTAGATCTGTGCGAGGAGTAGCGGGAATTTGTTACGAAGCCATTGCCGCTGTATCTTCAGTGGATGTGAAGTTAATACATTTAAATCATTTATATGCATTTATTTGTTAACTCCACGAAAATCACAACAAAACCTCTGATATATTTTTTTTTTGTTTTACATTTAAAAGAAGATGATCGAGCACCCTGGCGAATACTCGTCTTGCATCCCAGAGCAAGACATAATAGTGGCGGGTATTGGTGCAAAGCGCTTTGGTTTTGATTATGGGTTGTAACTTGTGAAAATATTCGCTCTGGAATCCAAAGAAACTCCTAATTTGTTATGCACACAAGGCTGTCCTAAGATAGGCGAAATATGAGAAATCTAAATCACACCCACTTCCATAATTAAACAAACAAAGCAAATATTATACATTCTGCTTTCAGAGCACTGTCACGTATAGTTATCAATGAAAGTTCTCTTTGTCTAGTGCACACAACATATTGTGAGAATTGCGCATTTGGTGGTCTACGTAGGTTTAAATACTATCATATCCGCTCTTCCATTTTTTTATTTCCATGCGGTATAATACCCTCCGATATTCGTCCAATATTTTTTTCTATAAATTTTGTAACTTTACAGTGCAAAGGAAGCCTACTTTGGGGTTCTTACGTTAAGATAATTTTTTTAGGTGCATCCATCAAAAGGTTATCAATTTAGAAGCCAATAATGCACTTTGATTATTCTAAACTTTCACTTTTTTCTCAGGCCCCTTCTGAGTCAGAACGCCAGACTCCTAAAAATATCCAACCAAACTAAAAAGCGCGACCAAAATTGACTAAAGATTTCCACGGTTTCACGTCCAACTGTCCATGCACATATGTTCGAGTTATGGTACTATGCCATTCTCAAGATATCGACGGAACAGCATTGTGCTTTATTTGACGTTGAACTAGCCAAATAAAGCACTTGGCGGTCAAGTTGTCCACCAAGAAATACTTGCGGTTTAGACATGTGCAAGTTAGTTCGACTCTCCAGGGATATTTGCCTCAGCATAACTATTAGGTGAGGTTAGATCATAAAAGACTACATGCCCACTGAAGAGCAACAATCACTGATTTAGGTAAATGTTCCGGCACAAAAGGAACCACAGCATATCCAATGCCCGCTAATCTAGGATCCGATCAAAAGCTCAAGTCGCTTAGAGTATCGCATACCTTTGCAGTACTGAAGTGCATCTCAGGCGCGAGCAACCCGTATTGATTTGTTACCGTGGTATTTCTCGGGACGTTTCTGTTGCGGCAAAAATTGTGACGTGTGTCTGGACTAAAACATGCGCTGCCGAAACTAAAACACCCCGGGTTTTCAACAATTCTTCGTGTTTCAAAACGTTTTCTGAAATAGGTTGTTCCTCACTATTTTTGTTTAAAGTTATGCGAAGAAAGCCGCCAATGTCAACCCAATACAGATCATCATCTATCCCATATGGCAAGAAAATTGAGTTTTGAACAAAAAGTTCGAACCCCGAGGTTTTCTTTTAAAAATATTGGGGTTTGGGAAGTCCACAGTCAAAATCAAGAGTAAAAGTACATAATTTTCGTTTTACATTCCTTGAAAAAAAAAAAAAAAAATCATTCTAAAGTATATTGAAACTAGAATTTTATTTTCTGAACAGTACATTGAATATATATCCTTCTCGTTGCACAACTTGTTGTCCTTACATATGTAAAAAAAGAAATGCTTCCATCTGAAGCGGAGTGCAGCTCGCGCCCTCTAGGCTACTCACTGCTTGCTGCTTAACAAACCTGGCTGGTCCTTGGTTCAATCTCGGTGCCTCTTCAATACTAGCGGAGCACTCTACCAACTGAGCTAACCAGCAGCTGGCACTCAGCGGAGTAACCGGTTGTTGAGAGTTAGCATCAGTATCAATCTTAGCGGCCAAAAAGGAAGAAATCAGTCGTATAATGATTTGTTGCAATGAGTTTTAAGAGAAGTATTCAATGTGAAGATGATCTGGTTAGGAATACATTGCCTTTCACCTGAAATGGGTCTAGCTCTGGCCCTCTACACTCGTATTCACCCAAGAACCGCAGTAAATGTAGTCCGGCTCCTTACCGAACGTTACTTATTTCTTCCTTAATATTGTTACAGTGAAAACGATGATGATTTATTTATAGCTGGGTAATTGCGGTAGACAGAGGATTGAATCCCTTGCTGCGAGCGCGCTGGCGGTCCTCTACCTCCTCTTCTCTAGGCATCTCATGAGGTCTGTAATATTACCCCCCCCCTCCAAAAAGCCACGACGTCTCGTCGTTGAGCTACGTGGTCGTTGGGAGGATATATGGCTTGAGCCGAAGCACGTGCACTGTGTCCCTTTCCCTGCGACGTCTGTCATTCTGTTGCTCGAGGGGTTCAATGACATATGTAACGTCGCTCAACTCGTGATGTATCCGGTATGGTCCTGTATAGCGGTGAAGTTTGTCAGCAAGTCCGACATAAGGTTGCAGTGTCCACAGCAATACAAGGTCACCAGGAGAGTATTGGATGTGTCGATGAGAGCTATCGTAGCGGGCACACTGGCGTTCTTGTGAGTCAAGCGTGCGTATGCGAGCTAATTGACGAGCTTCTTCAGCCCGACTTATGGCATCGAATGTAAATTCAGTGAGGGAAGCGTCTGGTTGGGGTGGAAGGAGGGAGTCAAGCATTAATGGTGGTTCACGGCCGAAGAGGAGAAAAAAAGGTGTGAAACCATGTAGTATCGTGGTGGGATGTATTATATGCAAAAGTGACGTATGGGAGTGCATCATCCCAATTTCTGTGATTTGACGACACGTACATTGACAGCATGTCGGATAACGTTCGGTTCAGCCGCTCAATGAGCCCATTGGGTTGTGGGTGGTAAGCGGTCGTCATTTGATGGTGGACCGAGCAGGCCTGCAGTACTTCAGACACAACGCGTGACAGAAAGGAGCGTCCACAGTCACTAAGAAGTTCTCGCGGTGCGCCATATTTTAATATGACGTCCTCCAAAAGAAACTGGGCCAGGTCGACAGCAGTACTGGTTGGGAGAGCGCGTGTGACTGCATAACGAGTGGTGTGGTCAATTGCTACTGCAATCCAGCGGTTTTCAGAGCGTGATGAAGGGAATGGTCTAAGAAGTCAATCCCTAGACGATCAAACGGGCTGATCGGAGGGCGGAGTGGTTGAAGGACCCCTGATGGCCTGATGGCTTGTTTCTTCTGACGTTGACAAAGGTCACATGAAGAGACATACCTTTTTAGAGTTCGATACATGTCCGGCCAGTAAAAATGTTCCTTAACCTTTCCGTAAGTGCGAAGGATACCCAGGTGACCTGATGAAGGCGCGTCGTGTATTTCGTGAATAACTGTGGC